GGACATAACGCTAAGTGAAACAAGCCAGACAGGGAAAGGCAAATACTGCATTTTTTCACTTATATGTGGAATCTAAAAAAATAAAGAAAAAAGTTGAACTTATTGAAACAGAGAGTAAAAGGATGGTTACCAGAGACTGAGGGACTGGGGGAAATGGGGAGATGCTGGTCAAAAAGTACAAAGTTGCAATTATGTAGGATAAGACTAGAGAGCTAATGTACAGGCATGAAGACTCTACTTAATACTACTGTGTTGAACACTGGAAATATGCTAAGATAGTAGATTTCAGGTAAACTAATCATACAAAAAAATAAGTTTGTGAGATGATATGTTAATTAGTTGACGGTAGCAACATTTCACTATATATGTATATCAAGCCATCATGTTGTACACCTTAGGTACATATAATTTTTACTTTTAGATACTTTTCATTTATTTATTTATTTTTATTTTTTTAAAAGGTTTTATTTACTTATTTGACAGAGCACAAGCAGGGAGAGCAGGAGAGGGAGAAGCAGGCTCCCCGCTGGAGAGCCCAATGTGGGACTCAATCCCATGACCCTGGGATCATGACCCGAGCCAAAGGCAGAAGCTTAACCGACCGAGCCACCCACGTGCCCTAAATACTTTTTAAAAAGGAAAAAAATTAATGTAATAGGAATCCTAACTCAAATGAGATCTAAATTATAGGTGATAATACAATATCATAAAATCATTAAGTCTCCTCCAAATTATTCTACAAATTTAGTGAAAAATCAGTCAAAATCCAAGAAGTATTTGTTGTGGAACTTGATTCCAAAAAAGTCTACATGAAAGAGTGAAAATGTAGGACATTGGAAAACCTGTTAAAATAAAAAAGAACAAAGATATAAAGCTGTATCATAATGTTTCAAAAAAAATAATATTAATGTGTTAATGATGCTGCAAAATACCAAGAAATTAGGTAGAATTTTCTGGATTGCAAGCTGGAAACTATTAGTGGTCAGGAAGTCAAGTTAATAGTTATCACCAAATTTGTTTTTTAAAGGATTGAAAAAGAAGAAACTACCAGTGTAACACACCTGTGAGGTGTGGGTGTTGCTTAACAAACATTTGTTTAGTGTGTGTGTGTGTTTGCCCATGTGTGTGCATGGGTGGTAAATCAGGTTATAAGATAAATTTATTTCTTACTTTGCCCAACTCTATAGAATGTTTGAAAAACATTGAAACAATAAAGGAACAGAACAGCACATAGGAATTTGGAATATGATTAGGGTGATATTTCAAAGGCGTAGGAAAAAGGAGAACTATTCAGTACAGGGTGTTGAGACCTTGGCTATCTATATAAAAATAATAATATAATAAAGTTAGTGACCTTTCACACACAGTACATAAAACTGTATTTCAAAAGGATTAAAAACTGAAGGGTAAAAAACTATGAAAATACTTCTGTAAAAATGATAGGAGAAAACAAAACAATGAAACTTCTTCACAATAAAAAACACCATGTAAATGTTTAAAGACAACTGGGAGACAATATTTGCAATTTCAATAAAAAGTATAAATTAGTATTTAAAATGTATAGCTGTCTCACATCAGTTTAAAAATATATAAACACAGCAGGAAAATGGATATGGGATATTAACACCCACACACACACACATATATATAAGTATGTCCAATTCCAAAACACAAATTAAAACAACAGTGATACAGCTTTTAGCACTCATGCTGGCAAAGATGAAAGAGTTTAATAGTATCAAGTGGTGCTGGTCAGAAACTAAGGAGGATGATAGTCAAATATGAGAGTGAGGGAAAAGGTAAACTGTTACTTTGGAGGGCAACTTGCAAGTATGTATTAAGATTAAAATGCAGGTGCCTGGGTGGCTCAGTCATTAAGCGTCTGCCTTCAGCTCAGGCCATGATCCCAGGGTCCTGGGATCGAGCCCCGCATCGGGCTCCCTGCTCTGCAGGGAGCCTGCTTCTCCCTCTCCCACTCCCCCTGCTTGTGTTCCCTCTCTCGCTGTGTCTCTCTCTGTCAAATAAATAAATAAAATCTTTAAAAAAATAAAATAAATAAAATGCACATAACTTCTAATTCAGCAATTCAACCCTGTGGCATTTATCTCCTAAAGGAACACACACAGTCATTCCCAGAGAGAGATATGTAGAAAGAAGTGTTCATTATTGAATGGTTTACAATAGAAAAAAATTTAAACAAACTAGGGTCCATTTAGAGGAAAATGTCTAAGAAAACTGGTATGTTTATACTGTGCACACAAGTAAAAGAAATAAGGTATGTCCATGTAATATGGCTAGATCTCAAGAATTAACACTGATTGACAATAAAAAATATTCAAAACAATACATATGGATTTAAACCACTAATATTAAAGAATACAAAACAATGTTACATAGTACTCTATGAACAGAGGTTACCCCTGGAAAGAGTTCAGCTGAGACAGAAGTAGAGGGTGGTCAAAAGGGTTTTGACTTCCTCTGACAAGTTGAGTTTTCATCCCCAGAAATTCTATTTGGCTATTTTTCAAGCATGCTTTATCTTTTTTTTTTTTTTTGATAGCATAATATTTTTTTCTCTTTTAATATTTCTTCTTTTATAACTCCACCTACTATTTCTGTAATCTGAAGTTCTGGACAATCCAATCCTACTGTTCCTTAGTTGACTCTCAGTCTTGGGGTCTACGTCACTGTATTTTATATTTGGGAGCCAGTCCTCAGTCCAGATTCCATAGCCAGAGCAAGCAATGTGTCCTTCCATAAATGTTTTTCATTCGCTTTCCTGCAGACCCAGGGTCATGTTTGTGTTATTTCTCAGCTTGCAGCCTCCTATATAACACAGGTACTGTAAATTTGCAATCTAACTGTCACTGAGGGCAGGGCTTTGACTTTGAGTACTCAGGGGAGTCTTTGTATTTGATTCAGAGCAAGGCTAAAACCAGGAAGCCAACTTATCATGGCCTTGTGTTGATCCACTGTTGTTGCCCATCTCTCCCCTCCTCCCAGGTCGAGCCTTTTTCACTGTCTTTATAGCCTTCTGGGGGTTTTCAGTTCCAGTTTTCTGGAAAGATCAGCTTTCTGGGGATTTTCAGTTCCTGCTCCCCTCCTCGCCTAGATTCAAGGCCTTGTTCTTAGATCTGTGGCTCTTAGAACTCAAATGCCCTGTCGACAAACACAAGGAACACTAACATGACTTCAATTTGTACAGGCGTGATGCCTGGTCACCCAGTTTTGGTCAGCAGAAATTGTCTTAATTTTTTGTATTTAGCTAAATATTTAAAGGAATGTTTGCAATATTTTAAATTTTCTAGGTGTGATAGGAGGGTTTTCAGATTCTCTAACTTACTATATATTACTACAAATAAAATGTTTCAATATTTTTAAACATCAACTCACTTTTACTTATAAATTAAAAATGCTAAATACATATCGGAGAAACCAAAATAGTATTTCTCTGTATGTGCCTTATTGAAGATGAAGATTTTGACTTAATTCTTAAAGACTGAGAAGATTTTGAACATAAGCAGCAGACAAGGGAAGGAATGGGATTATAACCGATCTGGTTCCCTATCCCACAACCCACTTACACTAGGAGGTCCCATGGCCTGCTACTTAGCACCATCATCTAACTTTTTGGTGAGATTCAATGTTAACAACCACTTTTTTGAGAGAGAGAGAGAGAGAGAGAGAGAGAGCATGCATGAACAGGAGAGCAAAGGGAGAGGGAAAGAGACAATCTTAAGCAGGCTCCATACTCAGCACGGAGCTTGACTCGGAGCTTGATCTCACAAGGACAACATAGAAATATATGCAAAATCAAGTAAACAATAATAAAACAACATGAAAACATTCCACTCATAAAGGAGGTTAAAAATCCTAGCGACGGCAATAAGAAGAAAGCCTGTGGTTCCTAGTAAGCATAAATATATCTTCAGATTTAACTTCTGTATTTCAGGAAGGCAGTTCCTAAGACCAAACTTTTTGATGGTAAGGCAACCAGAACAACCCACACGGAAATGCAAACCATGTCGACCACAGCTTGGAAATCCAGTCTTTCAAAAGGAACGTCAAATCTTTTCTTTTGTAAAATAAAAACAATCCAGACTTATCTACGAAGAGATTTTATTCAAAAAGCCTATTGCAATAAGGAAGATGCTCCAAAGATATGTCTGCACGCATCTCAACATCAAACAGAAACGCTTTCCTCTTATAGGGAGGGGTAAGCAGGCTAGCAGGAACTTTTGAGAGGAAATGGGATAAACTAGTGGGGGGAAGCAGGATGCATGATCAGGTGGTGGTCAAGCATTAGCGCTTGCTCAGACTTGGGCCAAATCAAAGCTCAGGGGCCTGGGAGGAAGAAACAACGTGACTAACATTTGATCAAGCTAAGGCAGAAGGTAACCACCAGACAACTCTGAACACTCAGTCTCTTCATAACAGCAAGAATACTGGTTTTAATAGTAGTATTACAATATCACTTCTTGGCCTTTTGGCTAAGATCAAGTGTAATAGTAGTATTACAATAAAAGAGTAGTTAGGAGTTAAACCCTCCAAACAGGTTAAGTAAATAACCAACTAAAAAGTCCACCTTTTTTCTCTCTTCCTGGACACCTAACCCTTTCTTCCCCAGGGTCCTTCCTGGGGAAGTAAGGGGTATGTTGCTGCCAACATGACCCAGATAGTCAAAGGATTTGCAAACTTATGTTCTCATAGGGATCTCTCTTCAAGAAAACTTTCATCTGACAGAGGAAATCAATAACTAGAACATGAAAACATGGCTTCAAAAATTATTTGAGGGACGCCTGGGTGGCTCAGTCGGTTAAGCGTCTGCCTTCAGCTCAGGTCATGATCCCGGGGTCCTGGGATCGAGTCCCGCATCGGGCTCCCTGCTCCGCGGGGAGCCTGCTTCTCCCTCTGCCTCTGCCTCTCTCTCTCTATCTCTCATGAATAAATAAATAAAATCTTTAAAAAAAAAAAAATTATTTGAAAGGCAACACATTTACCAGTCAGTGATATGCTATGACTCCCCAAGGAAAGGTTAGAATATTTTGTCATCATTTCTTCTCGGATGGGTAGAGTCGTAGGAGGTGAAGCTGTAAGAAAAAGAAAATGTGATTGCAGGTTATTATCAAGATGAAATGACTACAAGCTAGTTTGTAGCAGCTGAAATGCTACATTGTATACAATTAATGAAAAATAAAATTAATTTTAAAAAATAACATAGGAGTGTTGTTGTAAGTGTTTTTTTAAAAAGGTCTTATTTATTTATTTATTTGACACAGAGAGAGAGAGCATGAACAGAGGGAGGGGCGGGGAGCAGAGAGCCCTACTCGGGGCTTGATCCCAGGACCCCGGGATCACAACCCGAGCTGAAGGCAGATGCTTAACCGACTGAGCCACCCAGGCGCCCTGTAATTACTTTTTACAATCAAGAATAAACTCCAAATATCGGAATAGAGACTGAGAACAAACAGGAGTTGTACAAAATCATAAAAAATTATTCTACCAAAAAAGGGCAGTGCAAACATTCCTTCGGTATCAGATGGGAGATAGGGGAAGCATACCTTTCATTCATAGGAGAAAGAGAGAAACAGTTCTTAAGACTAAAGGACAGTTAAAGACTGGACAAGTAACTGGATAAAACATGTTACTGACTCAGTAAATGCGTTTACAATACTTTAAATTCTAATTATACCTGTAACATTGTTCCTAAAATAGACAAGTACTCTTACTCATTTAAAAAATCTGAGATTGGGCGCCTGGGTGGCTCAGTTGGTTAAAAAATCTGAGATTACTTTTGAACCACTGGAATCCAAAACTGTGAAAAAGAAAGCCGAGCTGAGCTTCAGTGCAGAATGCTTTACTTATTTTTCCATAGCACTGTCATCGACTCAATTGATAGCATCTTTGATTTCCCTGCCTAAAGGTCTTCCAGTGGATACACGAATTCCCCCTTCAATGCAAAGAGATTTGAATGGATGCACCAGCAAAAACTGATGAAAACGTAAGAGTCTCTGCCAATTGAAATGAACCTTCCCTTCTTCTCAGGTGTCCTTCTTCTACAGAGTCCTTCTTAGGCTCCCACGTCTGACCAGCCGCCCCCTCCCAGCACACAGAGCACACTGCCTTCATTGCGGTAGACTCCCACATCCTATGTTCTAATTGTATGAGGTAATGGCGTGTTTCTCCCACCAGACCATGAGTAAGGATTAATAATTTATGAGGCAAAATGCAATGGCTTACTTAAAAATAAAAACTTCTGGGGGCATTGTATTATTTGAAAGGCAACAAACACATTTACCAGTCAGTGATATGTTATGACTCCCCAAGGAAAGGTTAGAATATTTTGTCATCATTTCTTCTCGGATGGGTAGAGTCGTAAGAGGTGAAGCTGTAAGAAAAAGAAAATGTGATTGCATATTATTATCAAGATGAAATGACTACAAGCTAGTTTGTAGCAGCTGAAATGCTATATTGTATACTATTCGTGAAAAGGAATGTTTTCAGGAAGCTCTGAGGAACTAGATCTCATACATTCACAGATATTCAGACATATATTGGGCTATTAAATGCGACCACATTTCCAACTTTTTCTATGTTCTTTTCTTTACTGAAAAATCCCTGATTTACATCAAGTAGCTTAAAAAAATTATTTTGTTATCCTACCATTTGTAGTTTCTTTATAAAACATAAATGAAGACACTGAAGAATTAAATAAGAGTGCCAGGAAAAAGACATGAAGAGGCAGAAAGAAGATGAGTGAACAAAGAGAGACAGAGAGACCATAATAAAGGGCATAAAACGAGGAGAGAGAAGAGAAAATGGCTGCACAGTGAGAGTTTCTGCTGTTTTCCAGCTACAGTTACAGACTGGGTTACCCTCTACCAAACTGACTTGTGGTTCTCCTCTGTCGCTTCTCTCATCTTTTCAAAACCTTTACTGAAAAAAAAAAAGTTTCCATTTCCTCCCTCCCACTCTCCTCAAAACTGCTTCTTCTTCTTCTTCTTTTTTTTTTTTTTTTGTACACTGGCTACTGTTCTTTGACTGTGAGGCACCAGAACCTACCTCCCATAAACACCACCCCAACTCTATCAAGTAAGTCAGAAAAGGGGAAAAGGCTTATGACTGTAGTCTTGGCTGCATTCTTAAAACTTCTCATTCTCATTCAGTTAAATTAAACCTGAGCCTTTTTTATTTCACTTTCTTAATACTCTGCTCAGAAACTTACTCCTAGTGCAAAATTAGATTTCCAGTTCTTTTCTTATGTGTATGAAAAATATTATCAAAGTTAGTGATCACCTTTGTTGCCTCAGCTTATGCACAGCTTTTATAATATTGCCTAATAAAAATATCTACCTAGCAGAACCTCGCTCTCCAGTAAGCTGTGTTCCAAAGGCTTGATCACTTCTAAAGCAGCTTTGGAAGGTGGAGTGCACTTTCTCATAAAGTAATCCTTTAATGAATTTAATATGTAAATCATAGCACCCTCTGACAGTGATTACACAGGAAAATATGCCCTGAGTTTCTCACCGGGCTATCAAGAATACAGAACATTTCTTCCACTCACATCTAATATTCATTCATTCATATTCTTTCTGTCTCCATCTCTCTCTGTCTCTCTCTCTGTCTCTCTCTCTCTCTCACACACACACGCATGCACACATGCACACACACATACACACACAGCCAAAAAGGTTCCTATCAACATTCTTTTTCTAATGAAAAAAATTGTTTTTCCATTCTTGGGCATAGCTCACTTAGAGGTTGTATTTAAGAGGAAATATCTCAGGAAGATGAAAGCAGATGCTATTGACTTACAGATAGGAAGCCAGGAGGGTGCGGATGGGAAGGAATGAACTGTTCTACATCATCCGTTCTGTGAAACTTGCAAAACATAAGCTTTGATATCTTTGTTTCCTTGCTAAGGAGTTCTCTTTTCTTGGCCTAGCCTCCTGCAGAGCTGAATATAATTGTAAGGGTTCTCATCACACTCTTTATGCCTAAAACAAGCCCATAATCCTTCAAGATGGTCTAATATCATTTATTCATATTATTAGTAGTATTCACACTATCAACAGCAATAAGAAAGTGACATAAGCTGAAAAAAGGTGTTTTATTCCTTCTTATTTTATTTAAATAAGTGAATATAGAGAGAGCATCTGATACATGCTTGATGCTGGTAAGGAGTATGAAGCTGAGTAAACTTGGTCCCTACAGGGCCACATGGATCATAATAATATCAATTTAGGCCCACAGTTTGTAACTGAAAGTCATTAAAATTTCAGAGTGCCACCCATTCACAGTATTGACTATAACTAGCCCATGTATTTTCCAACTTGGCAGGTGAGCAGCAGAGGATGAAGCCTGATTTACATCTTTTTTTTTTTTTAAGATTTTATTTATGTATTTGACAGAGACACAGCAAGAGAGGGAACACAAGCAGGGGGAGTGGGAGAGGGAGAAGCAGGCTACCCATGGAGCAGGGAGCCCGATGCGGGACTAGATCCCAGGACCCTGGGATCATGACCTGAGCCGAAGGCAGACGCTTAACAACTGAGCCACCCAGGCGCCCCCTGATTTACATCTTTGAGAGACTCTGAAGGTGGAACAGAGGTGGAGACAATGTCACAGAGATGAGCTCAGGGGCTGGGGTTATTTTGCCATTTCTCAATATTAGGACTGGATGGGAGAGCGTACTTGTATTAGGAGAAAAGAAGAGAGGTCCAGACGTGGCCTGGGCAAAATCTAAGCTTACAGAAGCTGACGGAATAGGAGGGAAAAGAAAAGCCAAGCTTCAGAGGAGGAAAGTTTGGGTAGCTCCAGAATATACTAGGTGTTATGACCACTTCCCACCGCCAGTCCATATATTAAAAACACAGACATCCATAAACCAGCCACGACCTGTCCCCTAACTTCATATCCCCTCTAAAGCATTTATCTTGATCAGGCTCCAGATTCCACTGAACAAGCCCCAAGTGCAGAAGAACATGTGTCACTCTTGTGATTTTTTTTGCCTTCGGGAAAAGTCCCTTCAAGAGGCAATGTATACAAACGTCTTGAGTAGAAAAAGCAGGGCCGTCTATGGAAGGTACTAGAATATAAAAGTGAGAAGTTCTTTGCTTGGCCAAGATAAAAAAAAATATATATATATATATTTTTTAATCAAAGAAGTGGGAATGTAAACTTTATTGCTTTCCGTACGAGGACAACTGGCAGGAGGCGGAGATTGGTGTTTAAAAGGAAATTGGCAGGAGAGTCAGGAAGATGTGGTTTGAATACATCCCCGAAAGGATTAGGCTGTCACGAAAAGAAACACAAAATGGAGAGGCAGGAATTTGGGATCCTAATCCAAGTTCTGCCTGTCTTGTTACTCGGGGTTTCATTTCATGGAGAAGAGAGGGAGGATCAGAAGAGTCTAATATTGAGTGATGGTGTCAAGATCATAGCATACATTCCTCAAGTTATCACACTCACCCCTCTCTTAATCATTGCAGGAAACTTTCCACCCAGCCTTCTCTTACAGTCAGTGGCAAAACTGCCACATAAAAAAGTAACATCTAATAGTTTTTCTAAAGATTAAAGATTTTCCTCCCTCTGCAGGGGCGATGGGCCATGAGGGTGTCACATCAAAGAGCTGAATAACAACCTAATTTTCACCTATTACTAGTTCATGTGAAATAGCAAAACAGTCTCTACTTAAATATCTTTCACATACTACATTTTAAAATAGACATTGCTAGATGGGTTTATAATTTATGCTATTAAAATTTTTAAAAGAAATAAACATGCTATAATTTCTACTTAAAATATTAATGTAACGGGGCACCTGGGTGGCTCAGTCGTTAAGCGTCTGCCTTCGGCTCAGGTCATGATCCCAGGGTCCTGGGATCGAGCCCCACATCGGGCTCCCTGCTCAGCGGGAAGCCTGCTTCTCCCTCTCCCACTCCCCCTGCTTGTGTTCCCTCTCTCGCTGTGTCTCTCTCTGTCAAATAAATAAAAATAAAATCTTTAAAAAAAAATATTAATGTAACATTTTTACATATTTAATTCCGGAGCTCCATTTTAATTGAAGTAAATTGGGAAGGAAAAAAAAAAGAGGATAAGTAACACTAGAACACTGCCTTGGGTCTCTAGATTTACTTTTCTCTAAATGGGAAAATAAGTTCAATCATACCTCTGTTTAAGAATAAGCATTTTCTCTAAATTCCCCCCAAACATCTTTATTATATTTTATGATTTTGGAAGGGTCTAGACTTCATTTAGAAAAAGGTGTAAGTAAAAGCTATTACTAGGATAAATATCACTCTCTTTTTCTCTCTCCCCCATATAATGCACTGATTGCTATCAATATGCAGAATTAACAATGTTTTTAATAAATCTTAATTTTAGCATTCTTATACACAGTATTATGAATGTGCAGCCCAATTACAAAAACACTATAACTTAGGAGTGGATAATATATACTATTTAGGATAATATATACTATTTAGAAAACAGAGGTTTGGAATTCAGAATATATTTCCTCATGGAAGCAATGCTATATATAACCACAAGATCCCATGCCAAATTGTAAAAGCGATTTAAGCCATGATACGGCTAAACTGTAGCATTAAAATATCCAAGTACAAATATTTCTAATAAACAGTGCTTTCAGAGTTCTACTTCTGGAATCTAGAAATATAGTATTCCTATCCTGTCTGTAATGGCAACAGTAGAAAGAAGAGAAGGGGAGAATGAGGCTATCTTGATTCCCAGACACTATAATCCACAGGGAGTTTGTCAAGAAAAGAGAAAAGAAGGTTTGGCAAGAAAATAAATTCCTGATGGGGACATTTATAAGTCAGACTTTCTAAGTCAGGGACAGATTAAAAAAACAAACAGGAAGCTCATATTTTTTCTACATAGAATTAGAACCATTGGGCAAAAAGACCATTTTTAGGGGCGCCTGGGTGGCTCAATCGGTTAAGCGTCCTACTCTTGATTTCGGCTCAGGTCATGATCTCAGGGTTGTGAGATCGAGCCCTGCGTTGGGCTCTGTGCTGGGCACGGAGCCTGCTTAAGATTCTCCCTCTCGGGCGCCTGGGTAGCTCAGTTGGTTAAGCGACTGCCTTCGGCTCAGGTCATGATCCTGGAGTCCCTGGATCGAGTCCTGCATCGGGCTCCCTGCTCGGCAGGGAGTCTGCTTCTCCCTCTGACCCTCCCCCCTCTCATGTACTCGCTCTGTCTCATTCTCTCTCTCTCAAATAAATAAATAAAATCTTTAAAAAAAAAGATTCTCCCTCTCCCTCCCCCTCTGCCCCGCCCCTCACTCCACTTGGGCACATGCACACACACACTCTCTTAAAAAAAAAAAAAAGGCCATTTTTAGACCAACAACCAAAAAACCTCAAG